TGCTTTGATTCAATTTCATTGGAGCTCATATTCAAAAACCCCCGCCCACCACCATGCAAAGTACACTAATCCACTTCCAACGGCGTACTTCCAAAATAATTGACGTTTTTGTTTTCCCATGGTACACTAACTTACACACCCGCCACCATCACCTTACAAAAGTCCTATTAGTCATGCTTTCGAGACCTACAGATATACACAAATCTAAAGGTACCATCAACAAGGACTCGAGGGATATTATAACTCTCCCCAGAGTACATGAGACCTTGAAAGGGGATCTATTACTGAGGTATAGAGAGTACCAAGCTTTCAGCGACACCACAATCTTGAGGCTGGATGAGAAGTTTTCGTCCTATCGTGGACAGAAAAGCGGATAGAACCCACCAGTTTGGAAGCTATCAGCACAAAGCTATAAACAAGGGGAAGATGAAGGTGCAAAAGGTGGCAGAATCGAAAGTGGATAGGAGTGTATTGTCAAGGGCGAGAGGGAATGAGTAAAGAAGCGTTGCGAAAGAGGAGTGCATAATGCAATGCCAGTCTATCCGTGGATATAGAGCGCAACGCAGGCCACAGAATCATGGACCTGTCAGAGAATCCGAGTTGGCACCACGATGTGGCACAGTGTGGAGCACGAGCGGGTCTGTGGAAGAGGCAACGCCGGGCCCGATGTTACGGGTAACCACGTATGTGACTGGATTTCATATCTGGTGGTAAGATATACCCGGTTGAAAAGCCACCCACCTCCCTACTCCGCGGCGCCGCATTGTCTAGCTTTTTCCTGCACCCATTCCTTGCTTTCATTTCCCCCCTGTCGGTGGCAAATTGAAGCTGGCTTGTTGGCAGTGACTCACATTTCTAGCTCACTGGTGATGCTATTGATTGGCAGGGGTAAGAAGTGAATCACATCGGACTTTTTCTCCAATGAGTCCTGGAAGGTCCGTGACTAGTTGCTGCAGTCATCGCTTGTGGAGGAGGTTGATAGGTGGCACTGGTTTTGAGCTGAATAATGATGTGGTTGGTGTCCTCCTGAATGTTTTAGTTTTAGTACATCGCTGTGTGTTATCTCCATCTTGTGCCTCTTCAGTTTGTTTCACTTGATGCCCTCAATTGGTTTGTGTGATCAGAAGATTGTTCTCATAATGGGTCTCATGAGTATGTGTAGGGTTCAGGGTTTAGAGCTCATGTGTCAAATCGATAGGTCGGTGGTAGACTACATGAGATTTGTAATATGTAACTCTATGTAGAATATCGTTTTCGTTTGGACTCGTTTCAGTAATCTGGAAAATCTTTAAAGATGAAGGCGCATGACTGACTGTGTGTCTGAATAACGAGTCATAAAAGGAAGAACGAAAACTAAGTATGCTTTGCATGGTCTAGTGTCGGTTTACATGTGCCGGGGTTGTAGTATATATATCCAAGTGTTTGCAAATGTAGATATATATGAAAGGAAACGATTCTTCACAGACAGGCTAAATCCTCTTACCATGACAAATGCGTATACTCTTTTATATGAATCTGGTTTTGACTGCTACCTTCATACGAACCTATTCCTCACTATTGAACCTGAACAAGACCTACACTCTTGTTCTTGAGGCCACATGGCTGTGACTCTTTTGATAGGTTTGTTCTATTTGGCCAAAGATGGAGCTCCATTAAGAGGGTTCATGGTAGAGTTGCAAGGGTGTACGATTCCATGGTTAGCACCTGCAGATTTCCGTGGCTTAACGTGTGGTGAGAAAGCATGGATGTCACATCATCCGTTAATTCCACTCAACCATGACAGCGTTCTCATCTTTACAAGGCACTCGAGAAGCTACCCAAAAATATCTTGCATAACTTTATTGCAACCCCGACTGCTTTGCAAAGGAACATCGCAAAGAAAACCTACTGCAAACCTTCACATGTATGGTCGTCCTCGCTTCCATCTCCAGCTACGCTTGCATCTCCGTCCTCACTGACATCTGCAGCTTCACGGAATCTCGATACTGATCTTGATGTCCTACCCTCAGTTATATGTTATAATATTTTGTATCCTTTTCGGCTTCACATACTCATCTCCTGTACCAGGTTTTAGCTCATGTGTGTATATATATATATATATATATGTGTGTGTGTGTGTGTGTGTGTATACATTTTTAGACTGCTTATTATTTTGATCAATACCAAAAGGCTCGCTTCCCCAACTTGGACATTTGTAGAGGAGGTCGTAGCATCCTTCAGGAAAAGATCCCAATCTTCTCAGAGACCGAACGATTATGAATGCCACAGAAAATACTTGCACATCACGATGTAGTTCGAGATCAACACGCTTAACTCATCTCTTATTTGCCCCACTGGTTTGAGAATTGACAATATTGCTATCTCTACATAACAACGACAAGTGAAAGATCGAAGATTCTAGATCGAGCATGGGTAAAGCTAATGGGTGCCCAATACCTCGTGAAATCTCTCCATGTCACACCTCTGGACCAGCACAGGCAGCGACCAGTTCATACTCAATGCCGTTGGGAACGAAAGTCTTTCAAATCGCAATCTGGGGCACATCAGTAAGTCCGTTTGAATTGCCACATTAAACTTGTGATCACACGCGAGACGAGTTATGTTGACCAACATCCATCACCAAAACCAGCACTCCAAGCTTGCGAACTGATTGCACGTTCTTATGTCTTTCTATTTAAAAAGTTATCTGCTTTTCAGGTCTACAGTTAGAAAATTTACTTTTGTAACCTGCACAGTTGGACCACATTCACATGAACTTCAATACCAGTATGCTGCAAGCCCAGTCCTAAACCGTGGTGGCAACAAGTAAGAGGCATAACCACCTATTTTTAGACTTAATGGTTAATTCTAAGAAATGATATTTTATAATAAGTTTTTCATCTATTTTTCTAGTTTAGAGGTTTTTTAAATTTTCAATTAATAAGAGTTAGTTAATAAATACTTAAATTAATGAATAAACTACAAAAAAATACAAAATTTAAAACATTACTATCATTATAATTATTATTTGCTTGATTATTTTTATGGTATCTTGATGTAGATAAGAGTTGAAGCAACTGATAGTATCATAGTTAGATAGAACTTAAATTCACTATTATTATTATTATTATTATTAGTTAATAATTATACAAAACTATTTGTGTTGATAAAAAAAATAAGATTATAACTTAGAACTTGTAGTCCATATTTTTTTGAGTATTGTTAATGCTGCCATAGTTTTTGCTACTACCACTACAATCTTCCAATCTCATGCATGCCATCTTTGTTCAATATCTTTCAAACCATTTAGTTGAACATTTAGTTAAACTATTGAAGAAATATTTTAAGTAGATGGTGGATTGTGGTGGTAGTAGCAAAAATTGGAGTAGCATTTGCAATATACTTAAAAAAAAATAGATTAATTAGGTAATAATATTATTCTTAAATTATTCTATAATAAGATTAAATTAATAAATTTAATAAGGTGGTTAGAACAATAAGATAATTGCTTATATTTTAGAATAAAATTATTTTTAGATGGCCTATTATTTGTAATTAAAATACATGCTTGTATTGTAGTTTTAAATTTTAATTGTACTGTATTTTTTTAAATATATATGTAATTGGTATTTTAAAATTAAATTTGATTGGATATTGATAATAGTATATAATAAGAAAAAATAAAATGAGATTAAAATATTTCATGTATATACAATACAATTTAATATTTGATGTGTAGTAGAATTTTAAATAAGTTTTATCCCATTTGAAAATTTAATATTTATTACTACATTTTATGTGTTATGTAGAATATGAAGAAAAAAAAAACCTTTTGATTACATTGAAGAGTTACAATTAAGATTCACAATAAGAAACAAGAAACTGTTTTGCATATACCAAAGGTTGCACTTACAATACACCTCTTTCATTGATTTGAATTTGCGAATCTTTTGAGTTGAACTTAGCGAGCTGAAATGGATGTGAGACACTTACGTGGGACATTCATGTGCACTATGGTCGACATTCAATTTTCAATATGATGTTTCATATTTTACGTCTTGTGATTTGTTCATTTGGTTCCAAAAAATCCTTCTGAACTATGGTAATTTCAATTGTTGCTATCTCATACCAGAGACCAATATTATCCTTGTTCTGGAGCACATGAGATTCATAGACTGTGAATTGAGGTTTGATGTTAGTCCCACCAAATCAACACCATAGAAGTGATCCTTCCACTGGTTCTTCTTAACATGGACAGTTCAACTCTTTGGAAAATCCAATTAAGAACTCCAGCTCCAATGACGCAGTTCATGGGTACCACGCTTGCTATGATCGTGTTTGTTCACTGTCCAACTCCAAATAACATGAACTCACGGGTTATTGTGGTACATTCACCACCCAGGTTTGAAGCAGATCTCAGATCCACCAGCGATGCTAACGGACTCATCCATTGCAGACGGATGAGAAGGTAACAATTCAGAGCTGCAAAGACAATTGAGTACATTTAGGTTGAAGAAAAGCCTCAGAGAACCACTTCATACCAAGTACTGATTGTGAAGAGAGAGGCTGCACAACGATGCTGCCTTGGTAATTGGCCGAACCTTCCCTCGACCGATAGTCGAGACCAATTTTAAAGTCGAACCATTTCTTCAAAATTTTGTGTACTGGCAGGGTGTCATGCAAACCCACATTGTAACAGGATTAAAGCCTACCTGCTTCATCTCGCGCAGCTTGAGCCTCTTCACATACTGTCTGCTTGGGAGAGCCACAGCAAAAATTGTGCCACAACTTCATAGATCCCTTGATGAAAAGGCTTCACCCACCTCTCAGATGCTCTCATAGTAGATCCCAAACCCACCCCACCCAATCAACGGTTTCAAAGAGCCCTTGAAGCTTGCAGAAAAGGAGGCATAATAAAATCCTTCCCTAACGTCCACAAGTCTTTGGACAGTCAATGAGACGGAAATAAAAGGTAATAGAACTGCCATTCCAGAAGCACACGTGTGACTCCTCTGCACTCATAAGATTCAGGAGGACAAACCCTGATTTAGCAGATGTGTCCAAAATTCCAGCTTCAATTCCTTTCAAAAGTTCTGTACAATCTTTCTGGTTTATGGTGATACACATCACCAAAAAAAATCCGCATATCAACATTTTTCTCATAATGTCTTGCATTTTCAAGTAAGCCTTCTGCTTTCAACATCTCCCGACTTGCTACGAGATATAGTGTTTGCATGTTGGGCAGCAAGTGGACTGCAGCAGCCATTGACGTATACAAGCAAGATGAAAGGAATGAACGCATGGTAGCACCATCACTTCCTCACCTTCTACCATCTCCGACAAGCACACAATACAGATATCTCCAGCACTCCGAGAAACGGTGTGTGTAGGCAGATTTGCAATTGTTGACTCTGGGACTCCGACGTTCACTGCTCCAGACGAGAACTCGTGAGTTGGTTCGCAGGTTAGAATTTTAGATGACCTCACCGAGACGCACTCAATTTATCGAGTAACTGACATTCCTTTTCGAAGGTGATATTCTAATAAGGTAGTGCTGCATTAACTACTCCAGCCTCTTCGTCGGTTGAGCCAAACTAAGAAGGGAGGAAGCAGAAAATAACACGTTAAAATAATAATAGTATTAACCCAGTCGTTGATCAAACCATATGGAAAAACTATGCTTTTCCAACAATTCGAATATTTTACATAAAATAACTTTCAGGGTGTAGTAAGATCACCTCGACCAATGCTGCCTTCAAGTTCAACCAACTCTTCGTAAGAGAGATTGGTGTTCATGTGCCGGCTAAACTCTTGCCATAACTGTTCTAATTCAAGCTCAGGTTCATTGTCACTCTGAAGGTATCTCATCATGCGCCGTGCCCGACGCCTGTCTTGAGTCACTAAACCTCTGCTTCCTACCTTCTGCAAGTGTACCACGCCCCGAGGGACAAGTCCCACTGCAATGCCCATCCAAATTTGCATATTGAGACACCGCCTAAGGATAGAATGCTCCAACAAACATTGAATACAAGACCCTACCTCTTCGGCGATGATGAAAGATGTACCTTCTTGTAAAGTCAAAGTCAAAGCTTCTCCTTCAAAAAACTGAGATCCTGGAATTGGAAGTGTCTACAAGAATACGGAGGGAGTTTCAAATTAATTGCAAACATTGCCATCTTAATAGAGAACATAAATCGCCTGAATAGTACCAAACAAACAAATAAATAGTTGAGTGTAACCAAATTCTTTCTGCCAAAGGTGTTGCCACACTTACATATTGACTTAAAAATCGAGTAAGATAGCATGAAGAGACCTACACACATGAACTGATTAGAGAAAATAGAAGGGGCAGGAATTTGGGATCATGTATTGATACATACAAGGCCATATTCAGCTACTGAAAACCTCCCTGGAATAGCAAATTCGCAAACCGATTGCAGAGTGGTGTCTGTATGAGCACACAAAAAACTCAATAAACCCCACATAATACTGTACTAGAGTCAGAATTGATTACGATCTAGAAGGTTCAGCCAATATCCCACAGGAAGAAATGATCATTCACCCCTTACATGCAGGAAATGTGTGCCGTAGTACGCTCCCATCTTCCAACCATATTCTTAACTCACTAATTGACGGGCTTCCATTACCAGGGGATCCTCCATGCCACCTTGCGAGCGGCGATGTTTCTTGAACTTCCCCTCTCCGAACAACACGATCTATTGCATTTCCACTACAATTTTGCAGACAAAGGAACAAGTGATTTAGTAGTTTTCAAATAACAAAACAAAAACAAACAAACAAACAAACAAACAAACAAACAAACAAACAAAACAAAACAAAAGCATAAAACAAACTGTGAGGAGCAATGCACAGAATGAAGTTGACCGTTCAAACTATTGTTCACAATAATATGCATGAACCTCTACCTGGGACCCTAAGGTTGGAATAGAGATGAAATATAAATACTACGTTTCTAGAACAAGCACGCACAAATACAAGATAATCAATACCACTTCAGTAATGCTATCCTTACCAAGGTGAAACAAGCATCTACCTTGCAAAAATAGATGTGGGATTTCCTCCCGCGGAGATATCATTTGATAATTCCCCAATGCGTTGCAACTTTTCTGGCCGTGATGAAGAAAATGGCAGAGGCAAGCGCGCTCGAGAGGCCCGTCCTCTAAAGCCAACAAAATTGTTTCGTAAATTCTGCACCCGCAATTCAGTTGGCTGACTAGGACCACAATCTGCTACTTGCTTGCCTTTAGAATCTCGATCCCTGGGCGCAAATCTTGTTTCACCATCGCCGGTCCTTGCAGACACTGGCGGTACATCTGAAGGTGTAGAAAAATAACCTCCAAGTTCTCCTTCATCCGGTATGAAACCCTCACGAAACATTTGGGCTGCTTCAGTCATTCTTTTTGCCGCTGCTTGTAGAGCCAACTCACGATGCCGAACACGCTCTCCATCCACCTCCAGACTTCTCTCCTCCCCAGTACAGGCTACAGAAGTGGAAGTAGCTTCCACAGAAGGTGTAACTATTGGTGCTAGCACGGTTGCCGCCGCAATACCAGTATCTAAAGTTTCACTAGTTTCTCTTTCAGACTCTTGTTTACTACTAAAACTGTCAAGAGTGGCTTTGAGTTGCTGTTCACGCTTTGTCACGTCCTCAACATATTGAGAAAAATCGTTATCTCGTAAGGGTTGAGAAGCAGACACATGCGCATGTCTGGAATGTACACTCTCTCCAAGAGGTTCACTAATTTCATGAGGATTGATAACGTTCTCTGACGTTGAAGAGTTTGGTTTAATTAGGAACTGTGCAGTAAGGATTCCTCGAGGAAAAAGATTTGCATCGCACAATGTTGTCGCCATCGATGCTTCTGCGCTCACCCAACCAGCAACCACCATAACAATATCATCCCAAAATCAGCTGCTAGCAATTGCGTTGCAATAAGACCTGATCCTCTCGATCCGTCAAGGTCGCAGTGGCTAAAAGCTACAATCAAAGGAATGCCTTGGGCGGATTCGAACCTGTATCAAACACTTCTCGAGGGAAAGGAATCAAAAAGTACAGATTTCTAGCGGTAAGGTTGAGAGGAGCGGTTGCGCTTGAAGTGGGATCAGCATATCTCGATGTCTTTCCAGTCCTTTTAGAAGCCCTGTGAAGACCACAGAGAAACCGACCAAATGTCACTAGATAAACATTTTCATGAGAGAACCTCAAAAAGTAGGGGATTAACATTCTGTTATGACTCTACAACGAGATACAAAAATCCTCTTTTGAAGTCAAGCTATTTTGTGCACGTCAAGGGGTTGAATGCACACAACTGAACATATCTATTAACAGGTCAAATCTTAGAGGTTCAAAGCCACCTAAAATATCATTGCTCCATTAAAAACCTCCTGAGCCATTGCCCTTTGTGCAGAGCACTTTGTGTTTGTAACCCAAGTTCTGGTAAGGAAATTAAATACAGACTCCAAAGAGCCATATTAACATTGCTTTGTTCTTCCAACACGAAACTAATTACCTTGTGTAAAGTCCAGGACAGAAATCCCACAAACCTGTCGGGAAATGGAAATGCAGCATTGGCACTCGACCGAGGTGTCCTCGACTGACGGTTAGTCACCAGTGATGATGGCCTTTCCACTGGTTGTCGCAGTTGCTGGGTCTGCAACTCGTTCAGAACAAAATCTCGTACCTCCTTGAGAGTGGAACCTGACATCCACAGTCATCAACACCATGGTCATGCCTGAGAATCTATTCTTGCAGAGTAATGATTGCGCACCTTCAGAACTGCACCTAATAATTAACATTTCCTGCAAATAGTTTGTGACTTCACCAGGAAACTGCTTTGGTTCTGATTGACTGATAATACACAGACTATCCGAATTCACTTATGGAAGGCCTTCTACAATTATGTGGCACTAGTTACCTGCACTAAAAGTCCCTGTCATGGTTGGATACCCTGGGCAACGAATATGAAGCTCTACAGGAGCCGCACGCTGGTCAGCACGGGAACTTGAGCCAGAAGCAAACGCTGGTGCAACAGCAACCTGGCTGCGCCTACGACCATTGGCTTTGCCTTCCACCGCATGCTTCCGAGCTCTACTTTTCTCCGAGTCTTCATCCTGAACCTGAAAAGGTACGGAAGTTAAATTGTGATGGAAGCGAAATGGCGACGGCTTAAGAAAATTCCTGCAGAATGCTCTTTTATAATCATCATTCCCATATCTCCATAGTCAACATTCAAGTCAACAAGCAGCAACACCGCTGAGGTTATCTTGACTGAGATTCGAAACACACCATATTTAAGAATAGGATCGGCAGGATTGAGGGAAGGAACAACACCAAAATTTGACATAGGATTAATAATCTGATACATCCAGAATGAAGGCAACCAGAAGCAGACTTGTTGCGGCTTATATTACTGATCCAAGATAATTGAAAGTAGTAATGACCTTCAACCGTCTTCCCGAATAGGGCGAGGGAATTTGCCCAACACCGCCTGCATCCGGGACTACTGCGTCCAATCCTGCTGCTGGAGTTACGGGTTTCGGAGCAGTAGAAACAGCGGCTACACTCACAGGCTGACGTAGTGAAGGCAATAATGAGAACAACGTAGATGGACTCTCTGAAACAGCAGGAGGTGCACCTCCATCTGCTTGCCATTGCAACAACAATTCCACAGCCGGCTCAATCCCACTGCTACTACGCAGCGCTAGCTCACACCATTGTTTCGGAAAGCCCATTGCCTCCAACACATCCACCATATTTCCTACCAATTCTCGTCCGGCCTACACTTCTCCTGATGCCGGCACCAGATCCCGGTCACCCTCCGGCCTCAAATTCCTTTCCCTTCCTCACCCTCTCCAACCATCTGAATAGTCAAGACCCCATCTCCACAATTGGGCAGAAACCACGGTGGGATTCCTTCGGAAGGCAATCGGCGCCCCTAAACGACTTCCCACAACGCGATCTAATCTTACAACTATCTTCCGATACGATTCTCCCCAATCCCTGCAGCGGAAAGCATCGTAAACTAAACCCTAGCGCATGTTAGCTCCAAATTGACAAAGAAAAAGCGAAAGGGCGAAAAGAACCGAACCCAAGCGCCACCCAAACAAGCGTGAGGGTTTACAAAGCGCGCGGGTCCTTCTTGGTGAGTCGTCCACTCCGAAATCTTAAGAGGCGGTCACCGAAATACCCATCTTAACATGGTCGATCACCCCATTAGTAATTCGTTTCAACTCACTTGAAGTCCTACTAATAGACTAATATTCCCTCGCATTAATGGTGTAAAGGTCCCTGATGGCGCAAGTATCTTTTTTGTTGGCCATAGGTACAAATATGATTGAATCTTAATATTCTGAGAGTCTACGGTGAATCGTTCCGACTGCTTTATCATTTGGATAGCCTCAACTGGGGAATAGGTCAGTGACCCCATAACCAGAAACAGACCTGTTCTCGGCGGTGAGTGCTGACCCCCAATATCCACTCGTCTTCCGCAAGACTAATCTGGTCAGAGCGGCTCATTTACATGAAACCACTGAACTAATGAGCAGTGAGAGAGTTTCAGTGTCTCATGTTAATGAAGGTGATTGTTGTGGCTATGACGAGAGCTCAGTGAGCTGAAGCTTCACTCCATCCACGGCAATGGCGGTGACTGTGGGAGCGTGGATTGGCGGTGACTGTGGGAGCGTGTGGATAAGAGCACACAAACAGTGAGTATTCGGAGATAACAGCAGGTTGACAATGCTGTTGAATTGTACTCAACAGAATTATATTTTGTCTGAGTCAATTCATATCTAATCATAAAAGTCAATTTACTTCTTATTAGAGTTGCAATCTATTCTGGTCTAAGTATGATATAAAATGTTGTTTACCTCTTGACCTTGAAAGCCCTCATATACCCAACGTGCACAGGAATGAGATGGACCATACCTACATGCTTGACCCATACACTAACGCTGTCTTAATTATGACTGGGAACAGCTCAAATACAAGTTGGTGTCAAACCTAAATATGTTTCAAATACTGCACCCAATGACTTACACTAATGAATGTCAGGCATAGCCAAATACCAGAACTGCAGAGATTTAACAAATAGAAGGGCATGAGTTGATTTCTCGCTAATACAGTTGTATTTATTGATATCCTATGCAGGAGCATCTCTACTTCTGAAAGCATGTAACAAGGTAGAAGCTGTTTGTGATGTCTTCTTGAATGTAAACGCTATACTGCTGAAACAGAGGGAAGTGTCGCCACCTGAGAAAATATAAGAACGACATGTCAACGAGGCATATCAAAGGCATGTCAAATTGATGCTAGGAAATGGTCCAAAGGAACTTTAACCAGCCTCATGTTAGTTAATACAGAATCATCTCACAATTGGCCTGCGCTGTTGTACAAAAGAATAAGCGAACACATCAGTATCTTAACCAGAACCCTATGAGGAACTTTTCATCAAGTGAGCTAAATTTTTCTGGACAGAAAAATAACTTTAAATATTTCGCATCATAGTTTTTTCAAAACTGGTTCTCCCGCTTCACCACCTTGAAAAGAAAGAATAATCACTACGGTCCCCATTTGTTAGGACAACAGAGCTTTCGAAGAGACAAATAAACACTTTTGAAAAGTGGAACAACTTGGATTATCTTTCACTCCTGACCATGCGATGTTGGCATCGTAGGTCTACCACTTGTGCATCTCGACAGTATATCAGCTCTTACTACTTTTCCAACAGAAACAGAAACTATCTCCTTTAATAGAATTTCCGTAGGCTTTGCGTAGCTCGTCAAAACTCAGTGACCATGCCACGACGAAGAAAGTTCTGACAATAAAGGCATGTGAGAGGATCAAAATAAGGATGATTGTGCCAACACTATGATTGGAATGCACCGTGAGAGTCTTAATGATGCACACGTGGTCATTTCTACAGACTCCGAAATGCATTTTTGGAGATTATGGATGCATCAGGAAAATACTACAAACTTCAAGACATTTATTCAGAATTACTGCTTGTACACGAGACATCTTAAGTGTAAAAGACTCGGTTACATCTACTCTGTAATTTAGATCTGATAAAACGTCCTAAAAGACTAAATGTATTCAGGTCTAGTCTAGAACATCAGCTATTCAATCCCAGCCCATTGTACGCAATTTTGCAAAGGTCTTAAAATGCTGGCAAAGCATTGGGCTTCAGCTCCTTATGATTTGCATTACTTCGCTAAAACGGCCGCTCCCATGGTGGATAATTGGTAAAATTGTAAGTTGCAATATATGATTCAACAAGGCGAGGAGGAAGCCTACCATCACCGTGTTCATGTGGAAGGAGAAAACGTTGCTTTACAGAGCTTAAGCTGGTTTCCGGGTCGGTTTCCAACTGTGACGCATAAACACATTAAACGTGAAAGTGCATGAGCGGACGGCGCACGAGAAGGCACATTAATACTAGTAAAATACTTCAACTCCAAAAGTTGCTGTTGGCGATAATAGTTTACGTCTTAAGACTTGGACTACAATGGTCAAGGCATACCTGAAGTTGCAGGAGGCCCCTCAGTCACAACTAAGAAGTTACATAGTTTTTTGTAAAACTGAATTCGGTCCCCCGATTAACCCTGGGAAATTTGTATTTAAGCTCAGCATAGAGGAATTTCGTATCTTCATAGTAGAACAAGATTAGCAATAAGAAATTTCCTCTTGGAGGCAAACAGACGAGCTGACGCTTTCGGCGTTGTCTCTCCTTGAAAACTTTCGAAATTGAACAGCTCCGATCTGGAAGTTACACATTAAAAATGTTATGACCGAATTCCAAGCCCTCATTGACCATGGTCATGGAATGGATTGGAATAGTCGAAAGTTCCACCACAAGGCCACTGAAAAAACTACGGAGCGATGAAGTAAACCCCCACACCTTTCGAGTTCATGAACTATTCTGTGAAAACGAACAAAACGCAAATCAAATTACAAGACTTTGTCAAGAAACCGACAAAACTGACAACTTAATCGCTCACATCCATCCTACTTACACTCCGACGCACTAACCTTTCCAACAGCCAGCTCATGCATCTCAAAGCACTGACAATACAGAAAATGCTCAGATGCCATACCTGACGTTCAGATGTATACGTAGATAGAGTACACAGAGCACAAACTCCAACCAGCACTATCAATGAGGGCATCGGAAAGAACCCGAAATTACTGAAAACACGTTGTTTCTAAACTAGGAGAATCCCACAACAAGAGTTATGTGGAGGCTCTTTCAAAGCCTTTTTATTAGAATTTACTGACACGAAAACGGGGCGGTTCTCTCGCATCTCACTAACTCAGATGTTGGAAACCAATGCAAGCTGGAAGGATCGCGAAGTAACTGCAAGTGAGGCGACGGGATGTTAGAAAAATTCTACGGTGGTGATAGCGAGTAATCGAGAAGAAGCAAAAGATAGGCGACGCCTCGACGGGCCCCCGGTGGCTCTAAAAACTCAGCCCATCGGAGCGGCGCGGGAACAAAATTGCTGGCGGTGCAGCTGACTAGATTCTGTGTCACGTCATCCCGACTTTGGTCTCAAGATCATGTTGATACAACTCGATGCATCAGACATAAATACGTAATCTCACATACAACTACATCAATTTATATTCACAATGTTCAATTGACCCACAGAGAAATTGAACAACTCGTCCTGCTGAAAAAAAAACTAGGAACGCATGCAGACTTCCATGTACTTGACAAATAAAAGTTTTTACTTCATACAAAAGAAGCAGAAGGTAAAGACACATGATAGTGGAATTGTGTTATACAATCAATGTCGTGGATACCAAAGACAAATTGAAGATAAAACGGACAATCGAAAGGTAACTACTAAAACTGGAGACATAGGTGACAAAAAGTCAAATGTCAAAGATGAGTAGTAAATCTCACAAGGAGTATTAAACAAGAATTGTATACATGAGCAAGGGCCTCCTTTCTCATGGACTCTATACCTAATAATGAAATTCTATTTGAGACAAGAAAAACGGGCACCCAAGCTTAACAGAATGACTCTTGTAACTTATGTGTAACTCTGAAGCTCAAATTTTGAGAAGAAATATTGAAGTTGAATTGACATTTAAAAGCATACAATACAAAAGATAAAAGATTGAAAATTGAAGTGAAGACCTTAAAAATATTATATATAAAGACATAGCTTTAAAAAATAAAATAAAAAAGGTTGACAGAGAATGATGTATAAATGATTAATAGCTAAATGATGATATATCAATAAAAAAAAAATCCACAAATAAGACACCCATTTCGAACAACACAGTTCGACAGTTGCTATACTCCTTCAGGAACACTTGTAAGTGACAGCCGCAAGATACAAGCACGAACTGCGTCGCGTCTAACATGCAATCCGACTCGAGACTTTTACAACAGTCGTACCATCTTTCAAGTGATGCAATAGTCTGGGATTTAAAAACCCCTCGATTCAATCTTCAAAACGAAACTCATAGTACTAAACAGTAGGAGCAGAAGCCTCATGCATACGAAGTCAGAATCAAACAACACGATTAGCAAACAAGATTAGGAACCCTTGGGTCCCAGATAGAGGATTCCCATCATAAGAGAATCCACTGCGAAGACGAAAAAACAAAGACACAAGCAAAACTAATAAAATGAAATGTATTCTATTCTGCGTTACCAGCTGACGGGTCATATACCGCTTGACGCACAAACTGACCGCGAACTCTTGGTCTTTGTTCTGCAAGCCTTTTCCTGCTTTGATATCGTACCTGACCAAAACACGAGTATAGCTATCAGAAAACCATAAACGTGCAATACCGCTTTTACTTCACACTGTCGTCACACATTCTATAGCTATGATAACATCACGTCCAAACACAGCACGGGACAAATACAACTATTCTGGCAATTGCATCGACGTTTAACCACGCTGCCAGTAGTCCGGATAAATCCTGGCGATTCACTGCACCTAACAATTGACGTTTCACTCAAACGACCGAAGAGAACGAAAACAAACATACCACAAATGTCCGTACCTTTTTCTCAAAGCATCGTTCCTTTCTCTTCTGCCTGAATTTGTTTAAGGCAGCCTCTCGTCTGGCGAAACGCATTTGGTCTGTGCACAGTCCATTGCCCCCGCTCACTCCATCCACGGAAGGATCCGTCCCACCGGCGCCGTTACTCCCACTGTTGTCGTTGGCCATCAGCATCGCACCAAGTCCACTCTGGCCGTTGTTCACGCCAGTGTTACTTCCCGACGCACTTCCGTTCATGGACCCGTTCCCATTCCCCGTGCTCCCGTACCCGTTGCTGCTACCACTTTGACCATCCATACCAGTAGACCCACAGCGAGGAGCCCCCGACCCAAGAGTGACCACTGACTGCTGTTGTTCATCTTGCACTCCTGCATTGCCAGAATGCTGGGCGCCGTTCCCATGGTGGTAGTGATGATGGTGGTGGTGGTGGTTGCCTTGGTGATGGTGCATGTGCTGGTGGCTCTGTCCCGCTTGGGAATGATGTCCCGAACCAGAATCCTGTTCTTTAAATGCAGGAGATTGATTGTACACTTCTCCACGCTCTCCCATGTGAGGAGGCGGAGCTGCTATCCGTGCGCTCGGGTGAGCATAATACATCGGGTGCATGGCTGGACCGTATGATCCTCCAACGCCATCATAAGCAAGCATCCCGGGAGGTGGGATTGGAATGGCCATGGGCATGCCGGGTACGATCAGTGCATCCTCCGTAGTCTGCGTTGCACTGCTGCACCCATCCTGCCCACCCGCTTTCTCCACATTTTGAGGATGCGAGAGTGGGGATGTCAACCCCTTGACGCTTTCTTTCGATGACCCGATTCGATCCATTCCCATTCCCAGCCGGAGAGATCCTCCAGAGCCACCACCAGGCATGCCATATACTCCATATGCACCACACATCGGATAACCATTCAGAGGGAGAGAACTCCCGCCCTGATAGTGCTGTTGTATGATAGTTCCTCCGCTGTCATATCTGGAAAGGATTGGGCCAAAAAATGAGAGCAATGATGGTAAGTTAAGTGAAACCAGAAGAAAGAGTAACCCCCTCAATACGCCAACTTTGATATCAAGCATTATGCAAGTTAACACTTTCCAGAAAGTCAAGAGTAAACGAGTCAAAACTTTGGACACTGCAGTCGTAGTGTATGGGCTGCACCTAGAAAACGCCGACCCTCCTGAATACCGCAGTGGTTGACGCTCTTCTAATTCTCCGTCATTATCCACCGCCGATCGTGGCCGTTTCAAGCTTAACTCCAGCATAGGACCGGAATCTGAACCGGAGTTGACTTTTGGACTACTCCCCTGTGGATCTAGTTCGTCGAAATCATTCTCACTTTCTTGAGGTTGCTCTGCATCCTGTGTCTGTGGCTGACATGCTACGACATTTATCAAGTCAATGGCCTTTGGAGAAGACTCCTCGGCAGCATCATTCCGAAGACTGGATGATGGACTCTCGCCATTAATTCCATCAGGTGACTGCCCAGCATCTTGAAAAACACACGCAGCATCCTCATCTAGCTGCCTGGCAACCTCAGGCTGCTGATCTTTCCCAGTAGTATTACATGCAGACGGACGAGTTGCCATCTCCAAATCATGCCCCATCTCTTCATCTGCCAAGCAAACGATACATAAGCATACTAGAATCCTCGCAGCTACCCCGACTACTGTTTGTCAGAAAAGAACCTGATCGTAGCAAGAACAATTCTGCACAAGTTGAACATTTCTCAGTTGCTGACCGTGAATAAACGATGAAATCATCTTTCCCAGGCATACCAGCATTAGGTACCACGTATCACGGTGCACATTCAAAATCCAGACTAGGACCAACTAGAGAAATTCACCACGACTAGTCAAATAATGAGTTTCATCGACACTACACTTCACCTCTAAACAGTACTCACACACACACACATACACAAAGCGGAAGCAGTTCATCGAAATCATCCATTGCATCACATCCACCAACTAAATCAACTAAAAAGTAAACAAATAAACCAAATATAAAAAAACCTAAGAAACATTTCGTTAGAACAACTTTGAACCAAGAAGAAAACAGCACTAGGCTCCCGACTTCCAAGGGATTCGGAGTCCAATGTATTAACACTTCTACTCGTGATAAAATCATCTTTCCAAGCTGTACTATCCAGGATACATTCGACTAGAGGTATTGCCTAGTCATTACCAGCTACAACTCACTCTTCATCCCTTCCTACCAAGCTACCCTTAGCCAGTGTCCAGTGTTAACCTCGGTCGAACGACAGCTCTACGTGTTTCAATTCAACAAACGTACTAGCTAACGCCGAAGTCGTGAGGAGGATTACGCACGCGTCCAGCTTGTTCCGAATCCATGAGTAACCTGTCAACTACTTGAACACATTATCCAGTACATGCAATTAAACACCTCCGAACTGCTGAAAGCACTACACATCTACTGATCGATTCACCTAGAATATAACAGACACAATCAGTGCGTCAGGAGCGCGCTAATGCCTTGAACATCATGATTACGTAGTTGACTGCACGGCGCCAACAACGAACTTACAAGTACCGACACCTCAAGCACCAGAGAGCACAGCTCTAGATCTATCACCTACCCTGTGCATCCGAACCAAGCAATCCACCTACTCAATCCATCCCCCAATCCGTGCACAATCACGTTCAACATCAGGCATAACAATACCTTGCACATATGGAGAAAACAAACAGATGACCGTTATCAAGTTGCATCATCCACAACACATCAATCCCCCTCTTTTGAACCCCATCATCTACGCCATCATCTAACCCAACATGTAATCTCTCACAATTCTCACTCAAATCTCGAAACTTACCCAATTCAGCACCCTTATCTTGCGATGTGGCTTGTCCCTCTTCATCCCCGTCCGCTGCTTCCGGAACTGCATTGTTTCTTGGAACCTGTACAGGTTGCACACAAGCCTGCACCCAACGGTAAAACTAAGATTACCCTTCTTCTTTAAACCCAGCAGTTCTAAAGCCTCATATTCAGAAAACTCACGGCACTTTGAGACCAATACTTTCTTGACACAGTAAAACAGCGACGTATTCCAAGGAGCACTAAAATTACAAAAGCCTGTACCTGATTGCCACTACCATTATCGCTCCCACCCTGAGCATTGAGCCGGCTGCTCCCATTATCACTCCCGTCGCTGCTGCCGTTCCCATCATTGCTTCCAATTGGATTGTCAGCGGCCTCTACTCCACGGCTCTGAGGCCTAGCTACTTCCCCAGTCTGATTGCCACTTCCACTTCTGCTCCCAATCGACTGTCCATATCCACGAACAAAAACCCTCATTCACCCTCCAGACACCATCACCCGTCCACAACAACTCATATCTCATTCCATCGTGACCAACACTAGGTGCGCAACCTCGGTCACAAGTGAAAACAGTTTAATCAAATAGCATCAACCAAATAACAAGAGGCTGCTAATAATTCACCACCAAGCAGCACACCCGTCAGTAGCACTTCTAAACATTCAACCACACTTATCGGGCAAATGCAGGTAGTCAGAACCGACACTTCCACTGTGGCACTTCCTCCACACGTGTTGCCAAAGATTCTTCAACTCGTTTTTCCTGACAGGTTTCACGAGATAGTCACAAGCTCCTTTCGAAAGGCAGCGGAACACGATGTTCAGGCTGTCATATGACGACATGACTGCATCCAACACGAAGCTCAGTTCATCGATGCAGCTGTGGAGGACTTGTATAGCGACATCAAAATCGTGGTCCTATCCGAAACGCCACACTCATACTAGCAGGCAAAACCTCTACAACACTTAAAAAAGTGAAAATTATCCAGTTGCACTCTAAGCAGGATCACTCAGAAGTGAAAAGAGGCTGGAACTGCGTGTATTCAGACTTACTGACTATAGGCACTCTCTTGCAAGCCTCCCGTTTCAACATCTTCGATAGAATTCCGACTCCGGACAGACATGGCATCACCACATCTGTCAAAACCAAGTCGAAGTTGCTATTCGCTTCTTCCAACAGCCCCCATGCTAAGGACCCATTCGCAACCGAGGTGACTGGGACAGGCACAAACCTTCCAGTTCAGGTCTAGACTACACATGAGAAAAGTAAAATAACGGGCAATCGTTTCGACGATTTTCATCATACTCGCTAAACCGAAAGTATGCAACACAGAACTTTCCAACGCATTTCTAATTCGACATTCTAATTTCAAAGCATTCTCTTCAATAATCTGATCAAGATGCAATGCAGCAGGCATTAAATGGGTTGATAACAACATTGCCGACTCTGAAGTCATTTCAACCGGGACCCTACATCCACCGAGACACAATGAGTACGGGAACAGAAAGGATTGCTGGAATCAGAAAGAGTAACGACCTTCATAGTTGCAGTTCCGTAGGAGAGCTCCGACAACGTGCCGTGTTGCGTCGTCATCTTCCACTAGTAGAACCCTCAACTTCCGTTTCAGCAAAAAGCTTTCCCAACTGTCACCACCCTGAATTCCAGCAGCCACATCGGTCCCATGCTGCTGCTCTCTCGTTTGAGCTATCCCCAGCAATCTCTGCTTTTCACATGCTACAGCAGCCACAGCATCTCCTTCTTCATAATGGTCCTCCGCACTGTCCTCCCGGCGCCCATCTTCATCCGACTCTGATGTTCCCAGTAAGTCATTCGCCGGAAACTGGTGATCTAACTTCCTCATTCTCTGCTCCGCAATGTCCTTAGGACCTTCCCTGGCCTTCAGAACAGCAGTTCCTGAACGGTCTGTAATCCTGCGCCCGTTCTCCAACCTCGCGCCGTTCTTCTCCCTGACGACTACACGATTCACACCTACCTGTTCTCTACCTCTATCTACTTCCTTTTGAGTCTTAAACCCATCCTTAATCCTCCATTCTGGGCCCTCCGGGATTCCCACATTGGACTCAACCCAGGCCGTTCCCCCACCCGAGAACGGCCGGAGAGGCCTGGACTCTGACTCAACCTCGCTCAAATCTGCAGTCATAAAGCGAACTCTACTTCTCCCGCACCTGCTTACCAGCCACCCGACCTTCCACCTGCTTCCCCGCAATGGCTATCCTTCAGACCCCTGACCAACACTTAGTCTGTACTTGGGAACTCCGGGAGGTCTCCGTCGCAGTTCGCAAGACATTCGCTAAGACTCGTGGCGAAGACGTGTGAGCTCTCGGCAACCGCAAACTGTTCATTCAATAAAGTTCAGGCGGAGTCTCTATGTCAACATTTCATGATTCAGTTGGCCAAGGATGAAATCTTCATACATGTTCACAACCTCACAAACTACGCTGCTACAAAACTCGGAAACTTGAGTGGTGTACGGAACACATAAATGTTGGCTTTCATGTTTTTTACCATATGTATTGATTGAAAGTACACTGACTCCGTTATATTTATGTCCTGATAGTGACACAATCTCAAGCCGCACCACGAGAGAGAGAGTGAGCGATCGAAGGAATATACAGATGCACAATCACTACAAGCAATAGCAAAGGATGGTGATTCTCACATGTGCTCCGGCGATAAGCACTGATCACCACATCCACTTCTTCGAAAGAAGATACCCACTCAAATAGAGTTAGTCACTTGAGCTTGCTAGGGGTGAGCTATGAGTTGCGATTCGAAGAAAAACCAAAGTCACCATGCGTTACAGAAATATCGACGGATGCAGTTCACAAACGACCAGGCAAACAACACACATAGAAGGAGTGTAGGACAGACAAGAGCGAACGCGCAAGGCCTCTCTGGCTGCACAATGTATTCGAGCTACTCCTCCGTGCTAATCACCAAGACAACCACCCCCGATGTGAGTCCACTCAGAGCTAAGCAATCGACCTCGAATCCTTTCTTCTAAACCGCAATTTGACTACCTCGGAAAGGAATCTGAAACAGGCAACCTCCAGTCCACAGCGAAAACTTCGGCGCTCACTTAAATCTTAACGAGATTTTGGCTCGGCATCAACGATACTACGCTGAACGAACTCCTGCGCACGGAAGGATAGAGGAGCACTGCAAAGACGATAAAAACCTGGCGGTGTACGAAGGGCGGGGTAATGTGCAAGGGAAGCTTGGGTATGGTGTCGATGCAGGGGAGCATTGGAGTGCGCATGCTGGACCACAGAAACTGTCGACTGTGGACAGAAGCGGCTATAGGATCCGAATTCGTGGCGCGCTGGAGTGCGCAAAATTGATTGTGTGCATCGCAATGTGTCCATAGAGATGAGTAGATTAGATTTACCGTGGGGCACCTGAATCCGTCTCCAATGGAAAATATCTGACAGTGGCCCCGGATTTTACCAGCGTGGCTTTGGATCTGCCGAACTTGCTCCGCATCGGGGTCGGGCCAATTAGCGTTCCCGATTCGGTTCGTGCTTGGCTTCGGGCCTGACGTCCCAATGAATGGTCATCTCATGATCGCCTTCTCAGCTTTCCGTGACCAAGACCCATCGAACCCCGTTCACACTGTTCGTCAGAGAGGCACAGCATGAATAGTAAGGTCTCCAGAACGGAAAGTAAGAGACAGTTTGTAACGTCAACCATGGCTTTGGGTCCCCTGAATTGTCAGTGACTAATTCGACGGCTCTTTCTTTGATGCGGCAGATTAAATTCATCCACTGAATTAATTTTATTGTTGTTGTACTTTAATTACCGTGGCCCCACAGAGATCAAAAAGCTGGACAACGCACTGAGAAAAAGCAACTAAGGAATTATTCAACAAGTACAACGCAATGCCCTCGTCAACATGTTTCCGCTGCCCCGAAGTTGACGGTTGCAGCTCATTGCCGAGAAACTTCTTCTAAATGAGAAGCAACATCCATCCTAAAAGTAATTGAAGTCTACCTTTTAGAACCACAAAAAGCAAAATGTGTTAGTTCTTAATCAACACACATATTGTTTATGTGGACATATCCTTCCATTCTAAATGTGGATCAAATGATATTGAAGCTTGTTACAGTTGTTGCAAGTTCACCACAAGTTGTGGGGGAGTTTGAGTTTGTTCTCTATTTCCCCTCTCACTTGGCCCCAGTTTCTGGCCCCACTCTGGCTCCATCAGTTGAAGAGTGTATTCTATCCTGAGGCAGGCTTTGCTAGCCCAGTTGGTCCACTTGCAATCCAGAGGGTACCCATAGTGGGTCTATGGGTCAGCCCTTGCCATACATCCCCATTGTGTGCCTGAAGTGGTAAAAAAATAAAAAAATAAATCTTAAGGATAACTGTTTAGATTTGTGCCAATTTCTGCCTACAGAGAATAATTGGTGATTAATATTGTGTTTATTCTAACAATGAGATTTTGGATATTTGATTAAATTCTGATTGGATTTGCAGTTTGTTGTTTTGACGTTTTTTTTTTTTTTTTTTTTTTTTTTATTTTAATGTGAGATTATGGTCTGTTCTCATTAGTGCATCTTGTTGTATTCATTTGAGAGCAAATATTCTTTCCTTCAATAACTAGTATGTTCTTATATTAGTTTTTGCAAGTTTGAAACATCAAGCACTCTTCTGCATGCTATTAACTTCAAATTGTGGTGTACATGCACACATTGGACTTTTTATAACTTACGTTGGCAGAAATTAGAGTGCCTAGACAGGGATTTTCTTAATCTTCTTCTCCTAAACTCTGGTTATGTTTTAATCAGTCTTGTGCTTTAGACCCATGTGCTACTTCAAAGACATTGCATTCAAAACTCCATATAAATTATAATCAAGTTTGATATGAGGTGATTATTTTAAAATAAAACTTGATAATCAAGTTTGATATGAGGTGATTACTTTAAAATAAAACTTGGTAATCAAGTTTGATATGAGGTGATTACTTTAAAATAAAACTTGGTAATCAAGTTTGATTGAGTTTAAGGGAACATTAGACTAAAGTTAAAGATTTTTCACATTACTTTCTATTTATTTGTTGTTTTCCCATTATGAAAATCTACCCTCCTCTAAATAAGACCAATACATTTTTTGAAGAAGAGCATGAAAATAACTCTCAGAATTTACTTAGTGTCCATCTTTGAAGGCGTCTCTTCTGAATCCTATAGGAACTTCACTAAATCAACCACCTTCTAAAGACGTTTTCTTATCTGGAATCGTTTATACAATTAATTGAAAATCTAAATGAATGTAGCTTTGATTCCTTTGCTTTGAATTTTTTTTGTCTAAACTCAAATTTTCCCTATGATTGGTGAAAATGATGAAATTAAAAATAAAATATTAACATTGTAATTGTTATTAGATTCTTTATAATGAGCATTTCACTTTGAAATTGTGTTTTCTTATTATTCTTATAAATACCCATCGTGGTTTTATTTTTAAAAGTAAGATTCAGTATGAATTTTATGATTTTGTAACTTCAATGTATGAGCAGATCATTTGGAAATTGTGTTGTTTATTTTACATTGTAGATGTTGTCATCTGGTTTTGTTAAAAAAGCTCAAAATATGAAAAGCATCTTTTTCTGGACTGAATGATTAGCTTTCATGTGTTACAAAATTCAATCTTTATCTGTCTTTGAGATATTACTCAAAAAGTAGATATAATAGCTTTGAAATTTCAAGAAGCTCACCCTGCATCTTTTCAAATCAATAAAATAGTAGTAACCCAATTTATTTTTTGAATCTTTCAAAAATATAGAAAAAATAAACTTAATAGTTGTATTCTAAATTCAGGTACTCTGGCCAATAATTCCATTGGACAAGAGCAAGGAAACAGTTATATATATATATATATATATATGTATGTATAAATAAAAGAGGAAAAGAAAAACAGAACACATATTGTTAACTATATATACATACAGGCACACACATATACACTGAAAATATGTAAAATATTCTTCTGGCATTGACCATCACTAGGGTCACTATTGAACTATGGATTCAAGAACTTCAATAACATAATTCTTAAATTTACTTTCAACTCGATAAAAATATAATTTCCCCCTTCTTACACAATCATGCATGCTTACAACTTCACTAGCTTTCATCAGATTCATGAGAGATGTAATTTTTTTTGTTTAATTCTCTTCAAACATATGTTAGAATTTAAAGTCTTAACGCAGAAAGAATTTTGTAATTGTAAGTCTAGGCGGAAAACCATATCCAATCATGCAGATCCTAATGTCTTCAATATTGTTCATGTCACGCACACGCAAAACATTGAAGGAATAGTACAATCCAAAACAGCAATTTTTATTTGTTCTGACAATATTTGATCACGAAATAATGCACAAAAACTCATATTTGCAGAAGCAATTTTCCATCAAAGTTGAAAGGACGGGAATTCCTTAGCACTACCATTTCAAACCTATTTTGTTCGTGAAGGAGGAGAGCTGCTTGTGGAGCATCGGTGCAATGTTGCATTGGTAACTTCGCCCAGTTCGGTGCTTGGGGTCACAGCCTTTCGATGTTCGATGTTTCGTGTTCACGTGTGTGTCTGGAAATGCTTTTTCAGTGTGGATAAGGTTTTTTCAACCACGAGCATCGGTGTTAAATTGCCGTGTTGGAAAAGCTTGCGTGTTTCCATTTTAAAAAGAGGATGCTGTTGCTGATGCTTTCCATGACTTCATTCACAACGCCTTGGCATGCAGAGTTTATGAGGTGGCAATTCAGACTGTTGCCACTAAACATGCGTCGAGACACACACCGAAGCATGCGTGCTGACATTGCAAACTACTGCTAAATTTACCTCCACTGTGCAGCGGTTGGGGCGTCGCTAGGGGTTGAATCCCGTGGTCAATTGCTTTCTGATTATTGGTTAGCTCACCAGGTCTCAATACAATCTCACCTCATCGCACAGTTGTGCATGCAACGAGCATCGATTCTCATATCCGTGTGATGTTCACAACGCCGCCGCAAGTAATACAAAAGACCTAGGTGGCTTTTAGTGGCGCGCTCGACGCTGGATCGTCTCCGTTCACATCCCTTAATCATTTTAGAGAAAACGGTAGATGAAAAGTCCTTCGGGACAGTGGATGGGACTTAAAAGCAATCTGGCTGAGCCCTACGATATTAAGAATCTGGCAGAACCGACGTATGATTCCCGCTGGATTCGCATCAACTGGGTGTTTGGACGGCCAAGACTCGGTGAGATTACAGATAACCAAAAGGAGCAACGGCAGCCCTTCATCTGGGCGTGACATGAGACGAGCCCACCGCGCCGGCGGTCCAGGCACAACACCCTTGAACTTCGAATTACAGACAGGGTGTCTGAGTTAGGGGCTTTCGTCTTTATGCGGGGCTTTAGGGTTTAGGATCATACAGAACGCTGAGAATCAAGTGTTGGATAAAGGTTATGTGTGGGTGTGATGCGATTTCCGCGGCGATTGAGTAATTGGGAGAGACGAGTAGGGGAGGGGGCGGGATTTCGTCTCTAGTGTCAGTATTGTTATGGATTCGAGGAAGGGCTCGGGGAGTCGAGGTGGGGTGCGTGTGAGGACATCTGCGTTTGGAAGTCTTTCGTCGGTTGCAGTTGTTGAGAAGAAAGGTGGCGACATGGGGCACGGATTTGGGGAAGAGAGTGAGAAGAGCGGGGCGATTTTTGAGAGTGAAACGGAGTCGGTGCGTCCCGTGTGGATTGAAGTTGCTGATAAGGTCCGGCGTGAGTATGGATTTGGGAGTGGTGCGCAACCAGCTAAGTTTTTGCAGGTATTTATTGTAGTGTTATCGAATTGGATATTATTCATGGGTTAAGAATGAGGAAGTTGATAGTTATAATATTTTTGGTGGCACTTTCAGTGTATTACCTGTAATGATGTGAGAGTGGGAGAAAAATGGTGTTTCATGTCGCTGGTTGCCTCTATCTTTCTGGCACTAATGCTGAATTGCCTGCTTTTATGAGGATTCCTAGAGGATCTCGTAGTGTGGTTGCATAGGTGCTGCGTTGCTAAAATGCAATTGAGGTAGTATCTGTATGGAATCTACGGCAAGGATTTGAACACATTTCTACGAACGGTTACATACAATAAAAGCTAAAACCCTCCATAAACCCTAGCATTGTCTTGTGAAAATTTCAGATAAGATGACTTTCTTCTGTCTGTGGCAGGTCAAAGTTTTGAAAGAAACCAGGCCACCTGTGCAGATAGCTGTGGACAGTTTTCTTAGTCGTTTTTTTCCCCTCGGATACCCCAACAGGTTGTTATTTAAATTCTTGTGGCCTCGGCTAAGCTGGTTCTGTTCGTCTCTTCTCGTCAGCTTTCTTCCATTGCGAAGAAATACTTAACGAGATTGAACTTAAAGCATAAGTGCTTATGAAATTGGAACGAAGATGCATAATGTTTTCAGTTCAACTCCTGTATATTTGAAGTTAGTTTTTATGGGCTCATAAAAACCTTTGTGTTTTACAGTGTGGCAGAGGGTTATCTCGACTACTCTAAGTATCGAGCTGTGCAGCATTTCGCAAGTGCAGTTATGCATGTACTTTCCACTCAGGTGAGATTTCAATTTCATATCAATCTATGCTTTGTCCATGGAGGATGGAAGCACTTTCTTAGCATGGCATATATTGTGAATTTTACCATCACTTCGTCTTTTTCACTTCACTTACTGCCTCTGAACTTTAGCTTTGTGATGTCCTGTAATTCACGGCTTGTGATTTTCGTTTCACTCTTGAGTAGCTTTTATTTTGACGATGAATCAAATCGATGTAATAACTACAGTCACTTCTGGCGATTGGGTATCAGTCGCTACTCTTTGCTGCAGGTCTTCGGCCAACTCCTGCACAGGCCACGATCGTTAGCTGGGTGAGTATTCAAGTCAATGTTTCCTACAGTATTTGAAGTTAAAATTTTCGTACGCAACCATCTGGCGTTACCTTGTACATCTATAGGTTATAAGGGATTAAGGATACGATATTAGTAGCAGAAGTTGACGGTAACTTGAGCTTTCGCGTAGTTTGTGTAAATTACAAAGTACTGAATTTTCATTTCGTTTTCTTTTGTTTGAAGAAGCTTATTTATCTAAATTTTCGTGACGATTATTGGACAGGTCTTGAAGGATGGAATGCAACATGTTGGGAAATTGTTATGCAGCAGAATGGGCGCACGGATGGACTCCGAACCAAAACGCTGGCGCATTTTCGCTGATTTCATGTATGACGTTGGCGCAGGGCTGGAGGTGATATCACCTTTGTGTCCACAACATTTTCTTCCTGTTGCGGGCATGGCAAACCTTGCGAAGGTACATATCGTCATTCATAATTTTTCTTTGAACTTGGTTCACCGATGGTTGTTTTCTTCATGAGTTGTTATCTGACTGTGCATGTGTCTTACTTTAGGGCATGGCGCTTGTTTCTGCTAGAGCAACTCGGCTGCCTGTTTACTCGTCTTTTGTTAAAGAGGGCAACCTGAGTGATCTCTATGCCAAGGGCGAAGCGATATCAACACTTTCTAATGTGCTTGGTCTTGGTGTTGGCATCCACTTAGCATCAAATTTCGCTTCAACCATTCAAGGAAAGGTGGGCATGATATGAGAATATGATGTTCACTTCTGTTACCTGTGAATGTCATGGTTTCTGCCGTGATGGTTGTATATTGTGATATCTGTGACTCTTCATTTTATCTGGGACACCTCTAAATTTCCCCTTGGTTTTCATGTAACAGCTAATATGGGCGCCAATATTGTCAGCTATTCATTTATATTGTGTACAACAAGAGATGCGAGCAGCTCCCATCAATACGTTGAACTCTCAGCGGACAGCGATGCTGGTCGCAGATTTTGTCAAGGTTTGTCTTCATTGCTAAGTCATTTTTCCGCACGTACTTCTTAGTGCATCTTATTGGTATTAGAGAAGGGCTTTCATATAAGGGCACTATTTTGTTGAGCCAGAGCTTCAAGAATGTACTGAGGTCGAAGGTCTCTATTTGTGTTAATATGGGGCTTGTGGTAAACTTAGTCCCTTAAGAGATGTATGAGAAAGTTCATGGATCCTTCTGGGCAGTTCACTAACAAAAGTGTTGCACCGCCATGTTCGTTCTGGCAGACTGGGAGCGTCTCTAGCCCTGCTGAGTTAAGATACAGGGAGCGTTTGATTCTACCAGTCGGCCTGGAAAAGGATGCTGGAAATGTACGGGTTGGTGCTCCACTGCAGAGTGGTATTGGTAAGCCTTCAGTTATGGCTGAATTGAAGGAGAAGTTCCAGGGGGAGCAATTTCTTCTCCACTTCGGAGAGCAGGCAACGGACATGGTTTTACACCAGAAAGCATCCGGAGAAGATGCTGTTCGGGGGTGGCTACTGGCTACTCATGTTTCTAGATTATGCAAGGGCAGAAAATTCCAGGATGTGGATGTGTATGGGAAGATATTAGAGAAAGCATATGATGAAACAGAAAGATGTCTTCCAGCTTTCATATCTGGACTGAAAGACCATGGTTGGCATTCTCATCTTTTCTTGGAAGGCTCCGGAGTCCGAGCTGTTTGGTGATAGACTTACGAGGCACAATAGTTTTTACCGGTTAGGTAGGTCATTTTTTCAATTTTTACGAACATGTGTAATTCTAAAATTTTGACAATCAAACGATGTTTTTAAGGTTTAAATTTTCCAAGTGACTAATGTCTTGAGCTGCTAGAATCAACATTTTATGCTGAAAGTCGGCATGACGTGCAGATACGGTACGTGCCAAAAGCAATAATATTAGCACGATTCCTTCAATCATATTCATGATCTTTTGTTTTAAACTTGCCCTTCCTAAATGCCCGCAAAGAAGACGAAAATGTAGCATGCTGACATTATCAGTTGCCGACAGTTTCTGATGCAATTTGACGATGCAATGTCTTAGGCAGTTCCATCGCTTGTGGACATCGTTGTTTCAAAATTTCCAAGCAAAGGTGTCCTTTGAGCTAACCATGTACCAAATTTGAGGTATGCACATGGTTCAACTTCACTTCTTTTGAAAAGATGTAAAATCAGTCGAAACAGGCTACTTGTAGTCATTCCCACCAGAGACTATTTACGGTATACGTGCGCTGCTAGATATGGCAAATAAGGATGTCAACATGGCAGCGTGCAGCTCTTCGCACAAACCTTGTCCATGGAAACGTATCTGACTACTGATAAGCAGAGCTCACGATGTGTTTGGATCACCCAGTACTCTGCAACAAACTACGCTTGGTTTGGTATATTGACTGGAAGCCCATTCTCCTTCCAGGCCAGGTAGCCTCCTCCCATATCAATGACTCCTGTAAATTTCTGCACATACAACATCATCAAGACGTCAAAAGAGAATCTTTAGAGACCAACAATTTTACTCGGAATGGATCAATTACAGCGAATTGATCGAATTGTGTTTGTCAGCACGCATGCACGCACGCGCACAAAAACACATGCACACATTAGTATATATATTCCAAGCGAGAGAGATCAGTCAACACCCTAACGTACCCCTCAATAAACTCTGCGTAGGACCCAAACATAACCATATCCATCCAATTTTTTTTCAGATTTCTGAACTGAACAAAACCGTCAAAAACAGGATGTCTTACCGCATCCCGAAGTTCTGCAGCAGCCATCAAAGAGCGGCGCCCGCTCTGACATCCCTACAGTTGCATAAAATTGGAGTTTCATGTATTAGACCCTCGGGCATGTGCAGATACTCCTAAAACCAAGAGCTAATCAACAACTCACTTATGAATGAAGACGCCACTAGTCATCAGTTCCTGTGCAGAGAGCAGATAAACTCTACAAAGAACAAAAGAACAGTGATAACAATAACGCAAATGCTTACAATAAGTATTTCATCGTCTTTGCTAAACCCCTTCTCAACTTCCGCCAGAAATTTGGGGTTCTTGCTCATGCCTGCATAATGTCAGAGGAATATCGTTTCACTTTTTGTGAACAGAGAATACACAGCAATAAGAGTTCCTGTGTTAAGAGAAATATAACGATTAAAAACATACGTAGAACATAACGAAAACAACGCTCGAAACTGGAATAAGCTGTTTGTGATGCACGCATCGAGGCTTGAACGAAATACTGGACTCTTGAAGCCTAGACAAGTACCATAACATGCGAATCTGAGATACAATGATTCAACAGACACTAACAGGAGAAGCTTTCACGTATCACAACAATAAAATGGTTATATGATGGGCATATGTTGCCCTCTGAGTTCTCTTTCCAATATGACATTGTACGATCACCCTATACAATAGTTTGTTCAAGCAGCGATTCGTGACCAAATTCAACAGGGTTTGAGCGCACACCATGTCCAGTTTTAATAAGGTAGGGAATATTGACAGCGCCTTTCACGTGGCCTGCAGTAAATTCCTCTGTTGTCCTGGGTTTATAAACAGAAAAAAGGTTAACGGCCAAGTTAGAGGTTACATTACGATGAATGGTGCGGCTTTCTTTCAAAATAACGTTCAGACTCTATTCCTCTCAAAGAATTTACAACCAACACACTGCAGCTACTTAGTAAGTGAGATACTTTTACTTTGACAATTACAATAGACAGATGTGTACGAAATGGCACGCCACACACGCATACTGTCACTTTCGTATCTCAAGTACGGGAATCCGTATGCAAAGTCACAAATTTATATTACACGCAGGAGCGTTTTCCAGAAACGTCAGCAGAAAAACAGCAGATATGCAATGTGCGCGAATTCCAGATTAATTTGTGTAGTGTAGAATAGGAAGTTCAGAATGTCTGAACTTCTCAGGCTGGTAAGGATACATACAGAAGAAAGTAGACAAATGGATGATCAGAGCTCTAACCTGACATCCAAGCATCGGTGGCCAGCATTGAGAAGTTCATGGGCAACTTGCACAGGCACACTCTTGATTGTACTTGTTTCATTTTGTTTCGCTGTAATATATAACCTGCATCATCAGTTTTCCATACGTCTACATACATGTAAGCTCGTGCCCGCCATCTGTCACGACCAAATTATTTGCACTACTGCAGTATTTTTAAAACGTATCGCACTGTATCTCCAACTGCAGCGCATAACTGTCCTCGTATTATCCTACAAAACGCGAATCTAAGATGACACTTTCTGAACTTGTACGACTTGTATCAATCAGATATTTTCAGGAACTTTGAGCGATAATAGAAATTATCTTTATCTTTGTGTGAGTACGACTTCATCTACAAGTCGATTCTCGACAGGTTGGCCTCCCGACTAATCGGAACAAACTAAGAAACTTCGTCAAATCCTGACTGAAGTACATAGAAAATGAATAAGATTTAAACATTTTAAGAAAATCGTTACAATTGGCAACATTTCTGTTTAAAATTTTAGTATTCAGTAACTGGCTCAAGCATGATCCTTAATTTTGTGACGCCTTGGCTTTAGTCAAAATGCGAGATACCAGAAGAACATGTCTGTATGTGTGTGAATTCACTGTTTTAGAGATATTCAACTACATTATCTTGTTGATAACCTAAAACTAAACATGTAGTTGAGCATTCTAGCAATTCATTGTTCCCACTATCACACAATGCCTAAAAATTCTAAAGAAAGACCTCATCGAAAATTAAGCGAATTATTAATTGTATCATTAAGGCCTTTATGTCCAAGACATAGTCGACATCCCAGTGATTCCAAAAATTCATACTGTGACCACAACCAAAATTAGTCATATAAACATGACCAGAATCAAGGAGGAAGAGGAAGAGGAAAAAAGGAGAGAAAGCAAAGAAAACAGAAGGAAAGAAAAAGATGTGGAACAAGGATGACTTCGCGAGGAGTTAGCGATACTTAAGCACTGAACTTTGCAGGCAAAAAACGATAAACAAACCAGCACTTACCTCGTGGGCACATTAAAACTCTTCATAGTCGAAGAATGCTGCGTTTTCCTTCGCAACAAAGCTGAGCACGAAGCTCCTCTGCTAAACAAACCATCTCCGCTCGTCGTACACGCTGAGGTCACTTCTTTACGAAATGAAGCAGGACTAACAGCCAAGGAGGCAACAAACCCAGCCTGTGCAACCGACATGTTTCTTCACTGCACCTCTCCTGAAATTCACTCTTCCTTTGATACTTCAAATTCACAAAGATGCTGCAGATAGCACAGCGACACACGTTCGTATCCTCTGCTATTCGCCTCTTCACTTCTTTCTGCTGCAATCCACTATATTAATGTTTGCCGCATGCAATGGACGCAACACACAAAACAAGTCTCTGAGCTTCCGAAGACTGAGCACAATTTTCTACAAACGTTCCTACAACTCGACCACATGCACAACTTCCTCTTCACCTTTCATTCGTAAGCTTTACGAAAGAAGGCGCCCCACCATATGCATCAAAATCCTCGTATCCTCAGAAAAGCAAAACGCTCATGTTCCTAAGTGCATGTCCGACATACCTCAAAAACCCATCAAAACCCAGCTTAATCTATCACTAATGCACCCCAAACGTGCCTTCAAATTCAACATCGACAATATCGACCCCATCAAACATCGATAATATCAACTAATAAGAAGGATATTATTAAGAAACTAGATTACCTCTCCACAACGTTGCAGTGCGCGAGCAGCTGTAAACCTCGAATTGCTTACGGAACCCGCCGACTGTCGAAGCGACGCCACCCAGATGCGCAATGTGGAATTGGATCAGGCCCCATGGAATTTGGAGGCAGCAAGAGATGAGCCCAATTCAATTCCGACGCCGGCGATCGGCCCGATGGGCCAGCCCCATCCATCCCGCCACCGCCAGGCGGGTCCACATCGTATTCTATACATGTATGAAATTTATATATTCTTAGATGTATACACCCAATATCGTACATCAATGTACGTGCTTTCAAATCGCCTCCGTATGCGGCTTTGGATAAAGTTCCGCCTGCGATAACTTGATGTCCTTTTCATTGACATAGACCCACTTGGCTTCTGCAATGAAGGGTGATTTTTGAAAAAATATTCTTGCATCGTGTGGTGTTTGATTTTCTGTGTGTCTGAACTCGTAATTGTGTGGAATTTACATATGAAAATAAAATAAAATAGAGATTTCTATACATGTATATTATTATTATTATTATTATGTAGGCGACTTCTATTATTTTGTGGTTGGTGGCGAATTTAATGGTGAAAAGCATAAGTGAAAGTTTAGAGGGTTTTGGGTTTAATCAGGAATGGTCACGTGAGTTTTTATTCACTGTTGCAATGTTTCCACAAGGTCTTGACTTTGTTTATTTATTTATTTTGGTGATGGTATCACTCCTGATAATGTTGTCGGTGGATCAAATTTAAAGCTGATCCTAAGTGAATAATTGATTTTTAAAAAAATAAAAAGCAGATGGTGCATAGAAGATGGTGCAGGAACTCACCAAATTTATTTAATTTCTGATTTAAATTTTTGAATAAATCCTAGTATTACTCAAACTTTTGAACACTCATAACATATTATAAGAGTTTATATATATATATATATATATATATATAAATATAATTTGATTCAATTGGTTGTCTTAAAACTAATGTATTCATCTCAAAATCCATCCATCTATTTATACATGTATAATTTATATCCTAAAAATAAGGATCTTAATAATAAAGAATAAAAAAAATATATCATACATATTTTTATGATTAGAGTATTGTTAATGCTACCACAATTTTTACTACTACCATAACATACCTACATCCTTTGTCAATATTATTAATAAAAAAATTAATTCTAAATATAGTATATTTAAAATATATATTAGCAAAAGAAACTAATTAAATATATCAAGCTAGTGACAAGTTGTGTTGATAATAGCAAAAACTATGGTGACATTAGCAATATCTTATGATTATTATTATTATTGGTGATTATTTATGTAATTCTTATTATATATAATTCATTGATGAGTGAATCAACTCTGGCTTCTAAGATCTATTTCTAACTTATGTACCTCAATCCATATCAAGAGAAGGTTTTTGATTCAACTCATGTGGCTCCTTATGCTGAGTGTTGTGTAAATAAAGATTGTTACACACAACACATCAAGTACTATGAATCAATCATAAAGTATGTAATTTAAACCAAATACAAATTCACATCTAACACACTCTCAAGAAAAGATTAGAAATCTATACCAAACTAAGTCAAGTTATCTTTCACACCATAAAGGGAGAATTCAAGAATATAAGTGTGAAAATAAGAAAAATCCTAAAGCTTTACTAAAATGGCTAAAACACCATAGTCAAACAAATCCTTATAACAAATTCTTTCAGTCTCAAAATTACTTATAAGATTTAATTTGACAAGAATGTCAAGTCAAGGGTTTTTTTTTTTTTTTTATTTAAGTATTCAAGCCCTAATTGAAATGAACAAAGATTATTACATACAACACATCAAGTATTACAAACCAATTATAAATATGTATAATATTTATGTAATTTAAACCAAATATAAATATACATCCAATACATTTTCAAGTACTTTTTTTAGTTAATTAAGAGCTCTTCTAAGCAATTAGGACTATAAAACATATATTATTGAAGATGAATGTGATAATGATATGAATGCTAAATTATACTCCTCCGAACTAGTATTGTAGCAGCTAGACTACCAAAGTGTGTGACAAACATAATAAAAGAAATTTTCAATCCTTATCAAGAGATGATGCATAATAAGAAGACTTCTTATAATGAAGACAAATCCAATCTCCAAAAGGGAGAATTGAAATAGGTCGTGTTAAACATGTCATATGCCACCTATGTTGGCATTGATTATGTAAAAGCATGATAGCAACTTTTTTCTTCTCACCACATATAAAACAAGGAAGACGAATTGGTACAACTTCCAATTTAGGATATATAGAATCAATAATAAGAAGATGATAAGGAGCACAAATCTTTGAATGCTCCCAATACTCTTTTCCATACTTATCTTCTAACAACAAAATATTATTATTCAACATGGTCTTTATATGTAAATTTGTGTGCCTTGCCTTAACATCAAGTGTTGTAAGTACTTTACATTACAAATACATATAATCTTCTTTCAAGAATCTTTACAACTGAGGTCAATAAGATCGATTACAAATATGAGCATATTATAAAGTATTGCAATGTTGAATAATAGATAAGTTCTCTATAGCCATAGGCATGGCTTGTTTAAAGAACTTTGTATGATCATGTAGTCATTGAGTGCAAACATCAAGATTATCTAGGTCTATAATTGGAGCTAGCTTCTCATATATTGAGCTAAGTAGAATTAGCTACTATCCATACAACAACTAGTAAGGATTATAAGATATCAAAGATGCTTATCTACTAAAGCATAATCCATAGCAATCCATAGCAACATCAATTTTCAATCATGATGGTTGCTATAAAATAATCCTCATTTTTGTAATCCACATTTGATAGTCTAAAAAACTTGCTCAACTAGGCCATTTGCATCAAGATGATTTTTAGATGTGGTACAATGATCTATCAAAGCTTTTATTCATAAAGCTTCAAGTTGCCAAATCTAGGGAAGGCCAAAGTCGTGAAATATTACTTGGTGGTGTCAAATATTTTTGTGAGGCATCTACCTTTGCGTATTGTGTGCCAAGTCTTCTTAGGATAATCATATGACCTAAGTATAATAATCATTCATAGAAAAATTTATACTTTTCATGATATAAGCATAATTCCTATTAATATAATTATTCAAATATTATTTGTAAATATCTCATTTTAAATTGGAATTAGTGGCAACCAAAAGCCTAGCACTTTTTTAAAGCAAATTTTTTCTATCTCAACATATTGGTGCTTCTATTGAGAGAGCCTTATGACAATAAATTTTTCATTAAATTAGAATAGAAGATCAAATTCTAGGATTTGTATTAATACATGGAATGGATGTCCATGATTTATTCTAGGAATTTGATTAATTTATGGAAGAGATACAACAAGTGCATAAAAAAGATAGAAACACCACCAAAGCTTTAAAAGTGGTAGACAATAAAGTTGAAAGGATTGATGGGAGGAATATCATTAAGTTTCTAAAGATTTATATATATATGAAATGGAGATGCATCAAGTTTCAAAAATCAAGTAATTACCACCTTTGATTTGATAATAATACCAAAAATCAAAGAAAGGGTGCAAGAATTGCATATTGAGACTATATTATTGAAGAAATTTGAAGAACTATTGAACGATAATTTTTTTGAAGAAGACTCAAAGAAAATGACAAAACAAATATTTTTGGAGTGAATTGAGCAAAGGCCACGAAATCAAATGGCTTGAAATGAACTAATCAAGGAATTTGAGACTAAGTTTGGACAATTGCTACAATAAAAGAGGCAATTCTTGGAAATAAGGAAAATTAGATTATTTTTGCAAGGAGTTGATGAATACTTAGAAGATAAGTTGCTCTTTTATTTAATAGATAAGACATTTGAAAGTGGTTTTATAAATAATTAGAGATTAATTAAAGAAGCAGTGAAACTTTTGGTTAAGCAACAAAATATTAAGACTCATGGTTTAATATCAAGGCTAGAATCAGTGCCTACATCTCAAAATCTAGTACCACTTTAAAAGATAAGCAAGATTTGGAAAGATGAAATTCTTCAAAAATTAATCAAAAGAATATAGGATTTGAAGATAGAAATTATTGAGTTGAAGAAATTTGATATGGCAAATTCATCCAAGACAATTGAAGGCTCAAAGAAATTTGTTGAGAGATGTATATAGTATGACAATCCAAATCAGAAGCATGGTTAGTATGATCATTATAAGGCTACAATTAAGGATGGTATTATATATTTCAAAGAGGATAGGATAAGACTTATAGGGTTAAATGAGCCTTTGAAGATTAATTTTGAAAAGCATGGCATGAAAAAATTGGTGGAGAAGTAAACACAAAAGAATAATACCATATAAAGAAAAAGAGTTGAATCTTACTCTATTATCATTGAACAAAAGGTAGTTAAGACTAATTCCTTACTAATTACAAGAGCTATGATCAAGGGAGCTAAAGCTATGAAAAAAATAATTGGATAGAAAGATTTAATTGATACTATTAGCATTAAAGCATTTTTATGTGGGAAAAAATATGATGATGATTTGTATGATACTATGGTTGGGAAAAAAAGAGGTAGAACTATTCATAAAAAAGATGTTGTTGAGCCTAAACATAAGAAGAGATGTCCAAAGAACAAAAAAACAACTAAGGAGAAGAAATCAAAGAAGATGCTTACTTCTACTTATCCTAATAGTATATCATTACTAAAAGAATATTAGAAGAAAGAAAAAGAGAAGGAAAAAGCTAACATAAGTAAATGTAAAGATAAGAATCTTGCTTACAAGCTTCAATTTGACATTGAAACATCTACAGATATGAAAAATATTTTAGAAGAGAGGATCTTGGATGCCAAAATTGAATTCATTTTAAGAGAGACTCTTGGTATAGCCAAAAAGGATTTTTATGAGTTGATTATCAATATGATAAAGAGGAAGAGATAGATGAGAGTTGAAACTATTATAGTAGAAGCATTGAATACAAGTATAACTATAGATGAGGAAGAAGAAATAAAACAAGTATTTGCATAGTTTGCAATACCAAAAATTTGAAGTAAGGCTAATATGGACGATGAGGCTTTATTTGAATATGTTAAAATTATAAAAAAAATCAAATAGAATGTACATCTTTTAAATCTATGGAGATAAAGAAGATTACACAAGAAATATGT